TCTCCCCAAATCCCCCATTTTCGGACCTCCAAGCTCCCATAACTCACCCAACACTCCACCAAATCTTCCCATACCACCATCAAAACACTCCTCTCACCACCCTCTCCAACCTCATACCCAAAAATCAACACATCTCCCTCTCTCCCCAAAAATCCGAAACCCTACCCCAAAATCCCCAAATCCGAATTCAAGCTTGAAATTTGGACAAAATGGCACCAAAAAGAAGCCAACCGGAGAGCTCCAATGCTAGAGGACCAATTCCGGGGTATGAGACCATCCGCTTTGGGCCGGGAGATCACCGCAAACGATTTATGGCCATCATCAAAAGGCAAGTAGTTCCTTCTAGATTCCTATGTCATAAAGCTCTTACACAACTAGGTTTGTTGGATGGAATGAGGGAATTATTTGATAGGTTGGAAATGAATTTGATTTTTGATATGAAGTACAATTGTGTTGACAAAGTGATCTATGAGGTGATGAGTTCGCTCAAAATTGTCCTACATGATGACCCGGCGGAGTTCCTCTACGACAAGCTCACGTTTCGTTGGTTAAACAACGAATACTCAATTACGAGACGTGAGTTTGCGGAACACTTCGGCATCCCCGCACCCCATGAAAGGGGGATACCGGAGAGCACACTTGACGGGCACACCTTATGGGGCAAAATGACCGGAGAAAGGAAGGTGAACGCGTCTAAATTATCCATTAGTCACGTTCAACATCCTCTTCTCCGGATGTTCCTAAAGTTCTTGTGCAACTCTTTACTTGGTCGCCCCAACAATCACCATACTCGGATGGGGGACGTGGCCATACTCACTCTAGCCCTTTTTCATAGACCCACGGAATATAATCTTTGCAATTTGATGTGGGATCACTTGGAGGAAGCATGTAAGAAGACCGGGAATATTGTGGTTGGGGGGGTTGTGATGCACTTAGTGAGCAAATTCGGTTATACGGACAATGCTCCAATTCACCCCGATTGCTTAATGCACATTGGTTGGTTGTCCAATGCGGGTTTGATCTCTTTGGGCAACAAGGACCACAATGGAAACCAACGCTACCGGTGGCACATGAAATACCCCGAACCCACCAAATATTTCCCCCTCCCTTGTGATGAATTGCCTAAGCTTAGGTATAGGATGGCCACATTCGAGATCCCCCATTACCTCCTCCCAAACAACATTCCACCCCACCTCCAAGATCAAGCCAACCCACCCGAAGACCAACCCGAGCATCATCCCGATCAAGCCGACAATCAAGGATATGAAGATGTCCACAATGCTCTTCCCGACCCTCCTCAGAACCCGCCACCCCAAGATTTTCTCCAACAACTCTTGGCGGGTCAACAATCCCTCCTAGCCGGGTTCCAAACAATGAGCCTTGATTACACCAAAATGGGAGAGCAATTCACCCAACTTCAAGGAGAAATAGGCCACTACCGGAACGAGCAAGAAGCAAGAGACCGGCAGTTTGATGCTTACCGGGAGGAGCAACGGTTGGCTTTTCAAAGGATGGAGGAGCAAAGGGCGGCCGACATGCAAAGGTATGAAGAAGACTACCGGAGGATGTATGGGCCGACATATTCCTACATGTCCCAACTTGGGGGGTTTGCATCCATGGCCTCACCTCCACCGGCACCTTCATGGTACAATCCCTCCGATTGGGGAAGTTTCGGTGGCTCTAGTTCCGGCGGTGGCGGCTATGATGGAGGAGACACCACTATGGGGGAAGGGGGCGGTGATGACATGCACGGGAGCGGCTTTGGAGGAGGCTATTACGGAGGCGAGGGCGGGCACTAGGGATAGTGCCATGCTTCAAGTGTGGGGGAGGAAGATGTATCTTGTGGTATGTACACTCCTTTATTTTTACCTTATACTAAGCATTATTTTCTTGTACAAGTTTAAAAAAAAAAAAAAAATTAAATGTAATAAAAGAAATGAAATGCTAGTTAGGTTGAAAACCCAAAAGGGCAATCTAAGCAACAAGGGCTTACAAAAAAAAATGAGTGAGTGGTAAGAGAAGGAAAAGAAAAGAGATGCTAGGATGAAAACCTGAAAAGGCTCCTAGGCAAAATGAGAGATATGAGAGAAAATTTTTTTTGTTATCTTGCAGGACACTATCTCTTGAAGAAGAAGAAGGAGAAGAAGGAGAGAAGATGAGAAAAAGAAGAAATAAGAGGCATAGAAGACCATTAAACCCAAGGAAATGTTGTTTTAACTTCATTCACTATACTTGGTGGTTTTAGTTTCTTATTTCTTCCTATCTATGAACTCATGGTTTTGTGATGGATATTATGTAAACATTTGGTTTTACTCGAGGTCGAGTAAATGAAATAAGCGTGGGGGAGTTGACATTCATGTAATTTCCATATTTAAATTTGTGCTTTTAATTAGTTTCGAGTGATTGTTACTTTGGAAATTACACACTTTTGGTGTAAATAGTTTAGTTTGCAAAATATTTGTAATATGTTTAGATTAGGTTTATTCCGAGCTCAAACAGGTCCAAGTACACTTTAGAGACCATTGGTGAACATCACAAGTGCAAGGAAGGTGCAAGAATGCAAGAAAAAAATGGAGGATCCCGATTTTGGTCTGTACCCGGTCGGGTATGACCTATACCCGATCGGGTACCCTTCTGAAATTTCGAATCAAATCAAATCCGGGAACAAGGCATCATGCGGGAAGATTTTAACACGTTCGGGTGTCCATACCCGATCGGGTGACCGACAGACCCGATCGGGTATGACCCCATTTTCCAGCTTCGACGAAGCCACATCTTGTACCCGATCGAGTGGGCTGAAAACCCGATCGGGTACACGACCCTGCAGGCCTAAAAAGCCTATAAATACACCCCATTTCCTCCACAAGAAGACCACCAATTCACATATACTTTTTAGCTCAGTTTAGACAAGTTCTTTCTTTATATTTTTCATCATGTTTAGTCTCCAAATGAGGAGCTAAACTCTTCCATCTTGGTTTTGCTACTTTGAAGCTTAATGAATTTGTAAGTTGTGAGTTATTATCTTTAATCTTCTTCCTTGAATATTAATTCTTTCTTTAAATACTATTTCTATATCAATGTTGGGGAGTGTTACTAAGATGACAATTAGTTAACATCTTGACATTAGTTATAGTAATAGTTATTTCTTCCTCTACGTTAATATCGGGGAGTGTTACTAAGATGACAATTAGTTAACATCTTGATATTAACTATAGTAGGATTCATCTTCTTTAATATTCTTCCTTGAGTATTAATTAATTCCTATTCATATTTTATATTAATATTTTGAACATTACTTAAAGGATCAACTAGTTTTGTTTCATATATTAATTATTACTAGAATCGGTCGATTAATACGCTTGTTATTAATTCGGTCCTTTCGCGGTAGTAAACTTGGGTTATTAATGCATGCGTTTCATGGTTAATAAACCAAGGGGAATTAATTATATTGATTAAATCAATAAACCGCTTGTGTTGAGGTTATCAATCTCAATCGTTTTCATCTTGATTTTATTGCTACTATCGAGTGAATATACGGCGCGTGTTCTATATTAACTCGGTAGTAAGTTTTATTAATGAACGCGTCTCGTTATTAATAACTACCCTCGATGAATTGGATATACTCCTCGATTGAGTATTCGAGAGGAAGATAGTTAAAGATATAACCGGGATCGACGAACATTTCATTAAGTGGATAAAAGCAAAGCCAAGTCTTCTTCTCATTAATTAAACCACATAACTCGTTCATCTTCGTATTCAAATATAATTTAAAGTTCATCAATCAAATATAAACCCCCCTTATTGTTACTTATCTATTTCTGTAAGAAGAAAAGTATTCATTTCCCTGTGGATACGAACCTTACTTCACTATACTACGTATTTGTGTTGTATTGTATTATTACTTTGAGTGCACCTCACGACAAAGTGCACGTCATTCATCTATTGCGGCGATTAAATCGTTCGAATTAAGACGGCGAGATGTCAAACGATGGTTGAACGGCTGATTGTGGAACAAAATCAAGAAAATCGCGGCCATAAGAACTGGATCCCCAAATCCGCCAGAATCAAAGCCTACTCGTCCTGATCTTGTTGATATGGATGAAGACGTGAAAGAGGATGGACGGTAGCCGGCGGTGGTTGGGCAGAGATGGCAGGCAGTTGGGCGGCGATGGTAGATGGCTGGACGGAGAGGCAGGGGATACTGGACGGCAACAACTAGTGTTGGAGAAGATGTATAGGATGTTAGGATTTTATAATGATAATCTAAGGGCATATTAGTAAGGGCATATTAGTCCATATAAAATATTTATTTAATTATTTAATAATATATTAATTAAATATTACGAATTTTAATATTATTTGGGGAAAAAAACTCATAAAGTCATAGATTGGAAAAGTGGTGGAGTTTTAGTTATACCTAGGGTAATTATTCCTTTAAAAATCCTTCCATCTTGAGGCTTAAGTCAACAAACTCATATGGACATATAAGACAAAGATTAATTATCGTAGAGGAGTAAGGAAATAATTTTATTCTCCTACCATAAAGGTGCAACGGGTTATGCAAAATATTTCCACCCCACTCCAATAAATTCATCAAGGAAGGCAATTCAAATCGTATGGTATACCACCCCGAATTTATGAGCTAGTTATATCAGTTGTTATTATTTTATTCAGCTACGTAAGTTTTTGTTATGAATAAAGTGATATATTATTTAACATGTTTGGTTGTGGCAGGTAACGTTGACCGGTAAGCAAATAATAATGTTAATCGAAGAAATAAATACTATCTTAATATCTATTTATATTTTATTGAAAGGGAAAATAGCATTATTCAGTTGGGTCACAAGTATTTCTTAAAGGACTAAGAGACTCAATTCAGGCCCGCCCGAATTAATATTTTGACTGAAATCTCTAGAAAGAGATACTACGTAGCTATTACGGAGTAATATTTTATCATTTCTAAACCCTTGGGTATATTTTATCATTCCTTATCCAACAGTCTGCCGTTCTTTTCATCCTAAAATAATTTTCTCTTCACTTCTCCCGGTCTCGGCCAAAGCTTCAATCAGATTTTTTGCCTCTGCATCTTTTATCAAGTAAGCTGAACTTTTATTCTACCTGATTATAGTTCTGCTATGAATTAGTTAAAAAAATGTGAACAACCTGACTACTTTCTTTTGGAACTATCACGATTCAAAGGATGCCTGATTTCATAACGTGTGCATCATCAAGTTAATTTTTCTCTATGCATAGTAGATTTCATACTTTGTCTTGACCTAAGTCTCTGCCACTAAGTTTAGAAACTTTTAACTTTTCTCCCTCTAGTTACGATTTAAGTGTGTTAATAGTTAAAAACTTTCATGGGCATAGTCAATTTAATGGTAAGAATTGGTACCAGCTTTAAACTCCACGAATTATCAACCTAATATTTAAAAGCTTCTTTTATTAATCCAGCACCCACCATTTACTTTCCACTTAATTTCAGATGTTAAATGGTTTTGAAATAACCATAGAAAACAGAGAAGATTCTCAGTGTAACCCAATAAACCCACCACCCTCAATCAATAACCCCCTAACCCCTGATGACCTTATCATGCTTAACCCTAGTCAATTCCCAGAAAAATTAGATGGATCCAATTACCTTGTATGGAGAGACCAAGTGATGGACCTTCTGTTTGGTGCTCACTTGGATCAGTACATTGATGAAAACACCAACCACCTTATCCTGCCTTCTCCGGTGGAACAGACAGGATCGTCTATTGCGGCACGCCCTGGTCTAATCTCTCAGCTCCGCCTGCAAGCCACTTGATGGTTGGTTCTTCCAAGACCTCTACCTCTGTATGGAAGGCCCTGAAGCGTCTATATGGGACTCGGTCAGCCTCTAAAATTCGAAGTCTCAAAGATCAGTTCCGCCATATGAAACAAGGCTCGCAACCTGTCAGCGAATACCTTCATCACCTTCACACTATTGCGGATGAACTACCCATGGACGGCCGACCAGTTGATGACGAGGACTTTTCCCTTCAAGCCCTAGAAGGTCTTCGTCCTGAGTTTGAAGCTATTGAGAATTCCATTCGTCCAGACGAGGTTACGTTTGAAGATTTGCACTCGCTGCTTGTTGGATTCGAAGATAAGATGCGCAGGAAAGAAATCCTGCATCCCACCACCGTAGTAACAAGGGGAGCACTTCCGCTGCGATGATGGTTCGCAGGAGTTCAGATCAACGTGCCTCTATTTTAGGCTCAGGTCCATTAACCCAAGTTCAGAATCTGCCCAATAGGCCCAATACTCAGACTCAAAATTTTGGCAGAAATCAGAATAGAGGGCAACGCCCCAACAATTTCTATAATTCCAATCGCTGTGGAAACAGTAATCCCGGGGGCATCAATAATCACATGGGCGGGCGTACCAATTTTGGGTTTAATAACAGGTCAAGTTCATTTATTATATGTCAAATCTGTGGCAAACCGAACCATTTGGCTATCAATTGTTGGCACAGGTTTGAACAACAAAGTTACCCTCCCTAAGCCAACACTGTTACAACCAGGAAAAATGGATGGTTACTCGACTCGGGGGCAACTAATCATGTGACAAATAATTTAAATAACCTCACCTTGGCGTCCGATTATACCGGCACAGACTCCCTAATTATTGGTAATGGTAAAAGTCTTGAGATTGCACAATTTGGAAATATGACTCTTCATTCTCTTTCCTTACCTAATACTCTTTTTGTCCCTGCTATTCATACTAACTTAATATCTGTTGCTAAATTATGTCGTGATAATGATGTACTAATTGAATTTCACCCTTCTTTTTGTCTTGTTAAGGACCGGAAAACGGGAGCAATTATGTTACGGGGTATGAATAACGGTGACGTCTACAACTTGCCTGATGTTCCAATTCCTGCTTCTCCAAGTGTTAACATTACTACAAAATTTTCTCTAAATAAATGGCATTGCCTTTTAGGACATCCTGCCCTTCCCATCACTCAAAAAATTATTTCCTCATTAGGTATTGATTTTAAAGATGTTAGTAAGGATCTATCTCTTTGCACTTCGTGTGCGAGTAATAAAATCCACCAATTACCTTTAGGTAAATCTTCTCTTTCTAGTTCTGGTCCCCTTGACTTAATTTATATCGATGTTTGGGGTCCTTCTCGTATTACTTCTGTAGATGGTTTTCGTTACTATGTTATTTTTGTTGACCACTACACAAAATACATTTGGTTTTACACTCTCATCCACAAGTCAGAGGTATCCCCAATTTTTCAACAATTTAAAAAAATTGTAAAAAACTTTTTTCAAAAATCCATTAAAACGGTTTACTCCGATGGAGGAGGAGAATATATTTCACTAGGGAAATTCCTGGCCTCTTGTGGAATTTCTCACTTACTTACTCCTCCATATACCCCTGAACATAACGGCTTTGCTGAATGCCGACATAGGCATATTGTAGAAACAGGGATTACTTTACTTCACCATACTTCTATGCCACTCAAATATTGGTCATACGCCTTTTTAACTGCCGTCTATCTAATTAATAGGAAACCAACCGCTTCTCTAGATTTTTGTACACCTTATGCAAAAAATTTTCAAAAACCTCCCAACTACACAAAACTTGCTATTTTCGGGTGTCAATGTTTTCCTTGGCTCCGTCCTTACATGGCCAATAAGTTAGAATCACGGCCCTGACCTTGTATTTTCCTTGGCTATTGCGATCAGCAAAATGCTTATCGCTGCCTTGATCCTACTTCCAATAAGATCTTTATTAGTCGGCATGTGGTGTTCAATGATCCTGTCTTTCCTTTTTCTAACAATCTAACAACTGTTACAAATCTGTCCTCTGAAATTGATAATTGGCTCCAACCACCTATTTCTTATCTCCCTATTTCAGGTACATCACTAGGAAAGGCGTCTCCTGTTAAACATACCTCGGCGCAACAAGACTCCCCTAATATATCTAACCCCGCCTCACTTCGACCTCCTACCAATCCAACTGCCTCTCACCCACCGGTTCTTGCCACTTACCACCGCCGACCCAAACAAAAACTAACTACCCCATCCTTACCCATTACGCCCAACACCGCCACCTCAACAGATATTCCCACTCCCAATACTTCCATGTCGACCTTGGATCACCATCATGATCCACACCCTTCTCCACCCAAACGCACCCACCCAATGACCCTTCGCCCTCGTAAGCAAGCTAATAATGTTGTTACCCACTCATCGTTACCTCATCATATTATTCCTACTTGTGCTTCTCAAGCTTTACAGGTACCTGAATGGAGGGAGACTATGTCTGTGGAATTTTACGCCTTGGTGAAACAAGGGACTTGGGAACTTGTACCTGCTCAGCCTGGCCAAAATGTTGTTGGTTGCAAATGGGTCTATACTGTGAAATATAAGTCTGATGGATCTATACCCTGACTATGTCTGTTGACGTGCACTTTGTCGTGAGTGCACTCAAAATAAATTCAATACTAATACTTATACGTAGTATAGCGTAGTAGAGTTCGTATTCACAGGGAAAGGAATAATTTTCTTTTTATGTAACTAGTAAATAAAGGGGGGTTTTGATTTGAGTGATATAATTAATTTAACACAAAGATGAACGACTTATGCGGTTAAATTCAAGAATAAAGGGGACTTGGTCTTGCTACTTTCCACTTGTTGATATATTTTAGTCGATCATTGTTATATCTATAACTTATCCATCTCGAATACTCAATCGAGGAGTATATCCAATTCATCGAGGGTAGTTATTAACAACGACCGTTCATTAATAACCCTTACTATTAATCAAATATAGAACAACGCCGTATACCGATATAATAGTAGCATTTAACCTCTTTAACTCCTTGATGAAATCAATTGAGATTGATAACCTCAACACAACGGTTTCGGTTTAACCAACAAAATTAATCCGTCTTAAGTTTATTAACCACGACCGTGCATTAACAAACCGAAGTTACTTACTTGTGAAACTATCAACGATTAACCATCGGTTCGTTGATCGTTTCTAGTAATAATCAATGTTGGAACGTTAACTAATCGTCACTTAGCAATCCTCCAACATTAATATAGAATGAGATTAAGGGAAGAATTAATAATCAAGAGGAGAAAGTAAGAAAATAACTCACAAATTTAATAATCAACAAGTTTCAAGAGCAAAACCAAGAAATGGAAGTTTAGCTCCTCATTTGGAGACTAAACATGCTAAAAGAAATATAGAGAAATGTTATTCTAAACTGAGCTTAAGAGTATAGAGGAATTGGTGATCTAAAAGTGAAGGGAAGGGGGTGTATTTATAGGCTTTTTGGGAGTGCAGCTCGGGTACTCGATCGAGTATATACAGATACTCGATCGAGTATGTGTAGAAACTCGAATTCGATCCATACTCGATCGAATTCAGAGTATAATTTATAGCTATACCCGATCGAGTATGTCGGTGTACCCGATCGGGTATAGACATTCGATCGTGGGGAAATCTTCTTCTGCATGTTCCTTTGTTTTCGGATCCGATCCGATTTGAAATTTCAACCAGATACCCGATCGAGTATAAGAAATACTCGACCGAGTATAGACAAAAATCAGGATTTCCTTTTTTGTCTTGTGATTTTGCACCTTCCTTCCACTTTTGGGGTTCACCAACTATCCTTTGAGTGATGGTAGACCTGTTTGAGCTCAGAATAAACCTAATCTAAACAATTTACACGATTTTAACAAACTAAACTATTACACCGAAAGTGTGTAATTTCCGAAATACTAAACAATAAAAAGTGACTAAAAATGTAACCATACACACGGAAATTACACGCGTATCAAACTTCCCCACGCATAATTCTTTACTCGACCTCGAGTAAAGTAGAATGTACCAAACAGTTTAAGATCTTACCATGAGTTCAAGAAAGAAAGAAACTAAGATCACCAAGAAATAAAACTGAGTTTACAAACATAATTTCTTGGGTTTTATGATCTTCTATGCTCCATCTTCTTGCCTCTTTCTCTTCTTCTTTTCTTTCTCTTCCTCCTCTTCTTCCTCGAGATCAAATGAGTTCCTGCACACAACAAATATTTCTCTCATATCTCTCATTTTGCCTAGGAGCCTTTTCAGGTTTTCATCCTAGCATCTCTTTGTGTTTTTCCATCCTCCCTAACTCACTCATTTTTTTATAAGCCATTTTTGCTTAGATTGCCCATTTTTGGGTTTTCAACCTAACTAGCATTTCCTTTTTCTTTTATTTCTTTTTTTTTCTTTTTTATTTAATTTTTCGTGTTTACAAAGAGTAAAAGAAAGTTCATGCATATTTAAAATGCTTCCAATATTCGTACAAGATCTCATCATTTGCTTGCTCAATGTTGCTAATTTGCTTTTTGAGACTTGAAGAGATAGATGCGGGATAATACCTTTCGACGAAAGCCTTTTTCATTTGAGCCCATGTAGTGATACTCCTCGAAGGAAGATAGAATAGCCAGACCTTCGCGGTGTCTTTAAGACAAAATGGAAAAGCTCTCAGCTTTATTTGCTCCTCAGACACGCCATTGGGGCACATGCTTGTGCACACAATATGGAACTCCGAAAGGTGTTTGTTCGGATCTTCCCCCCGTAGACCATGGAAAGAGGGAAGTAGATGAATGAGCCCAGATTTAAGCTCAAATGTAACCCCCGTATCAAGAGTTGGAAAAGTGATACATAGGGGTTGTTGATTTAGATTCGGAGCCGTGAGCTCCCTCAATATTCTCGTTTCATTAGCCATAGTGATTGGCTCTTCGGTCTCGCTAGATTGAGAACTAGCATTTGATGATTCTCCCGAGTCGGAGTTTGAGAATTTATTTTTCAACCGCTCGAGAGTTCGTTCTATTTCGGGATTTGAGTGGTATGTGATTTCGTTCAGTGAACGATATTTTACCATGTACTACAAAGCTCAGAAGAAATAGAAATATTTATACTCGATCTATTTTTTTTTCTTTTTCTTAAGATAAAAAAAAGAAAAATTATTTGCCTTTCCCCGGCAACGGCGCCAAATTTGACGTGCACTTTGTCGTGAGTGCACTCAAAATAAATTCAATACTAACACTTATACGTAGTATAGCGTAGTAGAGTTCGTATCCACAGGGAAAGGAATAATTTTCTTTTTATGTAACTAGTAAATAAAGGGGGGTTTTGATTTGAGTGATATAATTAATTTAACACAAAGATGAACGACTTATGCGGTTAAATTCAAGAATAAAGGGGACTTGGTCTTGCTACTTTCCACTTGTTGATATATTTTAGTCGATCATTGTTATATCTATAACTTATCCCCTCTCGAATACTCAATCGAGGAGTATATCCAGTTCATCGAGGGTAGTTATTAACAACGACCGTTCATTAATAACCCTTACTATTAATCAAATATAGAACAACGCCGTATACCGATATAATAGTAGCATTTAACCTCTTTAACTCCTTGATGAAATCAATTGAGATTGATAACCTCAACAAAACGGTTTCGGTTTAACCAACAAAATTAATCCCTCTTAAGTTTATTAACCACGACCGTGCATTAACAAACCGAAGTTACTTACTTGTGAAACTATCAACGATTAACCATCGGTTCATTGATCGTTTCTAGTAATAATCAATGTCGGAACGTTAACTAATCGTCACTTAGCAACCCTCCAACATTAATATAGAATGAGATTAAGGGAAGAATTAATAATCAAGAGGAGAAAGTGAGAAAATAACTCACAAATTTAATAATCAACAAGTTTCAAGAGCAAAACCAAGAAATGGAAGTTTAGCTCCTCATTTGGAGACTAAACATGCTAAAAGAAATATAGAGAAATGCTATTCTAAACTGAGTTTAAGATTATAGAGAAATTGGTGATCTAAAAGTGAAGGGAAGGGGGTGTATTTTTAGGCTTTTGGGAGTGCAGCTCAAGTATTCGATCGAGTATATACAGATACTCGATCGAGTATGTGTAGAAACTCGAATTCGATCCATACTCGACCGAATTCAGAGTATAATTTATAGCTATACCCGATCGAGTATGTCGGTGTACCCGATCGGGTATAGACATTCGATCGTGGGGAAATCTTCTTCTGCATGTTCCTTTGTTTTCGGATCCGATCCGATTTGAAATTTCAACCAGATACCCGATCGAGTATAAGAAATACTCGACCGAGTATAGACAAAACAGGATTTCCTTTTTTGTCTTGTGATTTTGCACCTTCCTTCCACTTTTGGGGTTCACCAACTGTCCTTTGAGTGATGGTAGACCTGTTTGAGCTCAGAATAAACCTAATCTAAACAATTTACACGATTTTAACAAACTAAACTATTACACCGAAAGATTTTGGCATCATTCCACGGTAAGCGCATCGGACAGATCGACGCGGGCAACTGGGCGGCAGATTGCATGGTTCGCCACGGCGGTGGCGCGCATGGATTGTGACGACGGCGGCGCACATTTGTAGGGATGATGGCGGGGGTGGGTCGCGTTGGTCTGGATGGTGGCTGCCTCGAGTAGGTGTGGGGATGGAGTGGCCGAGCAGTCAACGGACTGGCTGCAGCAAACATACTCCTGAAAGGCGGCGGACGGCAGGCCATGGGTCGGCGGCAGACGGCAGGCCATGGGGGTGGCGGCAGCAGAGGCTTGCGGCTGCGGGCGGATCTACTGAGGTGGGAGAATATAGGCTAGGGTTGGAAAAAAGAGTGGGAGCTTATGTTTTTATAGATATGATTTAAAGGGTATATTTGTCAACCTAAATTATTTATGTATTTATTTATTACGAATTTTATTTAAATATTGTGATTTTTAATATTATTTTGGTACAAAAAGTAGTTAGGTCGTAGATTCAGAAAATGAACAAGTGTTAGTCATATCTAGGGTAATTATCTCTTTACAAAATTAATCATTGCGACGGGACGAAGAGAACTCTACTTTTAATAAAGCTGCGGTCATCATTTCTTCCTCATTAATAGGAGCACTTTTTATAAATATGAAGTTGACTTCTAAGGTCCTAGCCTTCTGTGTCCTCTGCGTCACACAAAAAAAGGCTTCGTGTGTCCATAAATTAAATACTCTTCGTCGTTTTCCTTCAATTCCTTATCCACGCTCACAAATTAAATCAATCTTTCTCTCTCACAAGCTAGCTAGCTTATCTCACCAGCAAGCAAGTTACAAGAAAAATGGCGACAATTGCAAGCAGACTCGACCAGCTGTTCCTAATCCTCTTTGCCCTTCTACTACCACTCTCTTTCTCTGTCAATGCCTCCCTTGCAGAAGGAGGACGCAAAGCGGAAGGTAGGTAATTGTTACGTTCCACCAATTCTGAAAAGGTCGTAATTTTGTAATTATTGCAATATAGTGGTGGCGGTCAACCGAGGTCAAGTATCAATTACCTCCGCATCTCCGCCTCCACCTCTGGCGGCTCCGCCAGCACTTCTGATGCGGTGGTGGTAGTTGTCAGGCATGAATAATGCGGCCCAGCATATATATAATTTTGCTGTGTTTTTTAGTTTCAGGCAACGACACTCTTGTGTATCCAACCTTTGTTACCATTGATGACGGGGCAGGTTAGTTAGTAATTCATCTTTATTTCTTCATTACCAATCTTGTTTTATATATATACTCGTGTCTATCCACTCCTATTTTCACATTTTGATCTCTTAAATCGAAATTAATTAACCCAGTCTAGTAGTCGCTCTCCATAAATATTTCGGAGTACACCGTATTTGATGTTTTATAAATGTACCCATATTTTTATACAATTGAAACATTAAATGCTAGCTTTTAATTAAATTTTATAAACCACATGCAACCTTTTTAATTTTTTATGAATTACATTGAACAAATTTGCGACATTGACAATTAATTGAGTATAACCCGCACATAAAATTTCTTAAACAGCTAACTTACTGCCATAAAATAATTGCCTTAATTGACAATTATTTTAGGACACGAGGTGCATTATATTTGTCAAAACACAATTAAGGATGTTTTCTTTTGGACTGAAATTTGCTGGTCTGGTCTAATCTGGTCTGAACTGGTCTGGTCTGGTCTGGTAAATGTCTTGTCTCTGTGCATTTTATAACTACGGAAGTCAAGTCTGGTCTGGTCTGATCGGGTCTGATCTGGTCAGTTATAGTTTGGTCTGGTCTGGTCTGGGACTGAAAATAGTCCAAAAGAAAACATGCTAAGTAGTCTTCAGATGTTTTCTTTTGGACTGAAATTTGCTGGTCTGGTCTGATCTGGTCTGGTCTGGTAAACGTCTGGTCTCTGTGTATTTTATAACTACGAAAGTCAACTCTGGTCTGGTCTGGTCTGGTCTGGTCTAGTCTGGTCTGGGACTGAAACAGTCTAAAAGAAAACATCCTTCATGTTAGGACTTAGGACTCTGCGGTTTTATTCTAAAAATTAGCCCAAGATTTTAGTATAATACGGAGTACGTACTTTATTAATTTAACATTATACCATTTGTTATTTTCATTTTTACAACTTCTTAATATGCTTTATTTTAATTTTAAAAGGAACCCGGAACTTAACCACTACAAATATAGGGAGGCAGCCTAATTTTTACTATTTAAAACGAAATAGTTACAATAAATAGTTATGTAAAAAACGACAATTATTAAAGATGCTTAATAGATAAGTTGATATCAAATTGTGAAGTTTAACCATGTTATATATACTAACCATAAAAATGATTTTTCTTGTGTAGTGTGTTTGAGTGGGAAACCAGCCTCGTACTACTTCCTTCCAGGATATGGCGATGGACTGAGAAATTGGCTTCTATTTCTCAATGTAAGGATATGTTTTCTTTTGGACTGAAATTTGCTGGTCTGGTCTGGTCTGGTCTGTTTAAATCTGGTCTGGTTTGTTCTGGTCTGTTTAAGTCTGGTCTGGTCTGGTCTGGTCTGAACTGATCTGGTCTGGTCTGGTCTGGTAAACGTCTGGTCTCTGTGTATTTTATAACTACGGAAGTCTGGTCTGGTCTGGTCTGTTTAAGTCTGGTCTGGTCTGGTCTGTTTAAGTCTGGTCTGGTCTGTTTAAGTATGGTCTGGTCTGGTTTGGGACTGAAAACAGTCCAAAACAAAACATCCTTAGTAATATTACTTCTTAGTTATTAACTACACGATTATACTTGCTAATAATATATATTCCGTACATTATTAACACTAATTTATTTCCTAGTGTAGATTTCACTAGGGGTGTTAACGAGCCGTGCCGAGCCCGAACACCTAAAGCTCGAGTTCGGCTCGATAAGGAATTAATGGTGTTCGGGTTCGAACTCGAAGCTCGGCGAGCTTTACAAATGAGGCTCGTGTTCGGCTTAATAGGCGTTCGATGTTCGAACCGAGCGCTCGTTAAGCTCGATAAATATGGTCGATTTTAAAATTCTAGGTGATGCTCGTTAATAGACTCGTGCTCGAATTATTCGACAAGTATTCAGTTCGTTAATAAACACATTTTAAATGCAAAAAATCATACTAATTATATTGAAATTTTTAATATATATAAATTATATTTATAATTTGTTCGATAGGCTCGAGTTCGAACTGAGCCTAATACTACTATGTTCGAGCTCGGCTCGATTAATATTTCGAACTTAAAACTCAGCTCGGGTTCGAGTTCGAAAGCTCGTTAAGCTCGACTCGTTAGGTTCGAATCTGAGCTCGAACTCGAATAGTTCGATAAAAGCTCGGTTCGTTAACAGCCCTAGATTTCACTGGTCCACTAATTACTTCTTACATGCAGCCACACAAAACCTATTATTCATTTATTTGCGGAGCTAGTGCGTATTTAAAATATTTGGACGTGACTGGGTTGTCCACGGGATCATTTATAACCGGTTATTAATAATTAATCAAAAATCTATTAAAAATTTAGTACTCACTTCAACTGCTCCTGTTAGATGTCCACGTGGAAGTTTTCTCTAGCACAGAAAATAAAATTTTAATAGGAAAATGACACCATTCTTTTTTCTCAAAATTTCGTTTGATTTAACACGTACTCCGTACTATATATTTTGGTTCAAATAAGAACACAATCTTATGAGAGAAATGAGAACGGATCTGGACCGTTAGATTTGCTTCAAGTGAAATTCAATGTGCATTAGATGAAACTGTAATGTGCATTAGGTGAAATTGAAATGTGCATCACAAAGGGTACGATAGAGTGACATTATGTGCAGTTGAATTGTGCATTACGTGAAATTGAAATGTGCACTAGGTGAGGCTGAAATGTGCAGAATAAAAAGTACGATGTGATGTTATTTTTGTACTTTTTTTCGCACATATCAGTTTCATCTAATGCACACTTGAGTTTAAATTTTTATTTTGCACATTTCAATATCATTTAATGCACATTTCAGTTTCACCAAATGCACAATTTGGTTCAACATAATACACTCCAACGGTCCAGATTCATTCTCATTTATTCTCCTAAGATCTGTTCTTACTGGAACCGCACCCTATAGTATGTATCTAATGACCAATTCGCCAAGTCAGTCAACTATCAAATACTTTGTCTATATAATACTCCCCCACTCCGTACAAAAAAGGTTCGTCAAATTGACTTTTCTTGATCAATGGCAATCAAGTTTGACCATTTATAACTTTTAATACGAAATTATTTAGAATTTGAAAATTATATCAAAATGTTCCTTATTCAAAATATTTTTATAAAAGTATAAAATTTATAAATTATATACAAATATAATACTTAAAATCATTGTCGAAAGTTCGTCATCATTGACCAACAAAAGTCAATATGACGAACCTTTTCGGGACGGAGGTAGTATATTTAAGTTCTTCAACCATTTCAATAACTAAAAAATGGTGAAACAATTCAATAAATGGTTCATTCACTACAAATAGTGTTGAAATATTAATCTTCGTCACGAAGATTTGAAAATTACACTCCGTATAATTCAGCGGAACTATTATTATTTTTAACCAATTTAAATTAATGTATATTAGGGAGGAGGATGGTGCAAAAATATCAGTGATTGCAGAACTTATATTCATAGGAAAGGTCTTGATAACGATGCCGTTCCAATTGCTTTTCGCGATGATACAATATTCAGCAACAACAGCGACAAAAACCCAGGTGTGACTCCAATTTAGTGTAGATCAACTAGTCACAAACTCACAATAATATCTCGTTAGTATAATTTTTATAGTAACTATTTATATACACAAAAGTTATTCACTCATGTTTATATATTTCAAGGGAATTTCTATAAATTCTAAGAGAATTTAACTATAACTTCTATAAGTTCTAAGCTAATAATTTCTTAAAACTTTTGACACCCAATTCAAATACTTAATTGATTGTTCAAGTTATATTTATGCATGTGTGTACGAACGTAGTACTATCCTCCGTATTGCATTAGTTGCAACATTGGAATTGATACACTATTCATATACTATACTTTGACTACATTTTATTTATTATTGTGTGTGAATTATTTTATTTGAAAAATATTTTTGAATTCGCCTCATAACTAAGTTTCATAATCTCATTTTTAGTTATTTTTTACAAATATAGAATTTAGGTTTTTTTGCCCTAAATGGGACTAAACTATTCCTGAAATTCCTAAATAGGAGTATGCTTATTTTTTTGCCCTAAATAGGACTTAATTACCCATCTGTCCCTATTTTCTTTCCCTACACCTACGCATCATATTTCTTCCCTCCCCAGCCGATTCTTTCTTCTCCTCTCCCCCTGCTGGTCTCCTTCCCCTACCCAACTTCTTGTTCTTTCCCTTCACACATGAAGGGCCAAACCTTCAAAGACCACCGCCGTTGACGCGAAGTCCGCCTCCTCTGCCCAGTCGAAGTCCGCCGCCGCTGCCGCGAAGTGCCGCCGTCGCCGTCGGAGACCTTCTCGTCGAAGGTAAGGTTCTCTTCTTTTGATTGTTCTCCTTGTCCTTCCTCCCCTCTTCTCTAGTCCTCTCCTCCCTCTTCTATTTCGTTGCATGTGCTCCATTTCTTCATTATTGGTAAAAAATGCCAAGTTCAAATCTGAAAATGCCATCAAAATGGCATTCTTATTCTACAAATTTTTATATTTTTCTTTGAAAATGCCATTGAAATGGCATTTTAGATTCACGTTGGCATTTTTATAAAAACTTTGGCATTCGTGTAGGCAACGACCAGATCTGCAACGATACAGGCCAGATTTCAGTGGCAGATGCCGGATTTGCTACAAAAGTGGTCGGATCTACAAAAAACAGTGGCTCGAGGCCGGCGGAATAGCGACGCCGCCAGATCTGCGGCGGAAAATACCATATCTACGACAGCGGCGACAGTCTGATCTGTAGCAGAGACCGGTTTTGACTTGGTGGCGGCGACTGGCGGTGACCGGCGGATACCGGTGCCTGGAGGAGGCCCGGCACTCTGGTCGGCACCAGTGATTTCCCAACTTCAAGGGTGTTTTTGGCCTGTTACATATAATAACTCCTATTCAGGGAGTTTTTTTATCTTGAGTCCTATTTTAGCAATTAAAGATGCATTTATTCCCATTTGGGTAAATACCTCTAGAATTTAATATAATAATGGTCAAAGTTGTGTGTTGACAAACGTGAAAAACGGAATGTTGTAACTAAAAAAGAACAGAGGAAGTACATTAATACATGTATGTATGCATGCATGCACATTTAGTTTTGTCTGGCGCTGCAGTTGAGCCATCGACATAGCTGTCGAGACCAAGGCCAATGAGGGCCGAGTGAACCAGACACTTCCATACGGGATAATTTGAGGTAGTTAATTTTATAGTGAAGTGGGTTGAAGCTGTGAGGGAAACGACTCTGGTGGTAGGGGTGATGATCGACATGAATGGATCAGGAAAAAATAACTGAGCTCGTTAGAGAAAGGCTCTTGATATCATAAAGAAGTATTATGAGAAGTATAGTATGTATTGATGCCTTCAGCATGATGTACGTACATCAATATATAAGTTACAATTGAGGTGATAAGCTAGACTAACTAACTAGCATAAACTAAGGGATAAAACTTAACCATGCGTACATGATAATTACACGTGATAAACATATGTTAATATTATGGTAATATTATGCTTCAATATTGTTATCCTATTTATTCACTTTGTAGCTTAGGTTGTTACATACATGCACTCATACATGCATACATAAATACATGTATGTATGTTTGTTTGTATGCATGCATGGATGGTGCATGCCCCACACTCATCATAACCTGTATTTATATATTTACGTGTATGTGTTAGTATATTTCTAATTCTCAGCATTTTATACTACGTATTTGTACTGTGATGGTGCTAACATGTTTAATCTTTGAAATGTTTTAGAATTTTACAATTGGAACAAAGTCTGGGTTAGGTATTGTGACGGCTCATCGTTCACAGGAAACTCTCAGAAAACAAAAAACGTACGCTCAATTTTTTTACTACGTATTTTATTTCATTAAAATTATCTAGTATAATTACTTTTAATGATGTTCTAGAAGTACCATGCAAATGTGTTTTTGTCCTATCTGTAGCTTAGGTTATTACATACTCATTCACTTTTTGCAGGGCACAACCTATTACTTTAGGGGAGCCAGGATTTTCAATGCAGTGATACAAGAACTGCTAGGCAAAGGAATGGACAGGGCAGAGAATGTACGCATTTCTGTTTAATTTTTTCAAAATTTACAAACAAAACAAGCTAAGCAGGTATGATAAAAATTTAAAACCACTTGAATTTAATTAGTTAATGAACGTGTAATTTACCTTCTTTAAGAGTATAAGCTTCTTTATGTTTAATATTCGGTTCTTTGAAAAATATCACACCTTTGGTTTTCAATTTTAGTCCTGTAAGTTTCGATAGTTATCGTTATTGGTCTGGTAACTTTAATCACTTGCAAATTTGATCTTGTAACTAATAAATCTTTGCAACTTAATTAAGGACTTCTTCACCGGAAAGTACAATTTCCAGCAGAAAAATCCGACGCCGGCTACATCTTCTCCGGTATATTATCGTAGGAAAGTGTACTTTTCAGGAGAATAGTCATTAAATCGTAAATATTAATTAATTAGTTACAGGACCAAATTTGTAAGTAACTAGTGGTACGGGACTAATAGTGAAAACGACCAAAAATTACGGGATGAAAATTGCAAATTTTCCTACCTTTTTTAAGAACTCGCATCAAAAGTGATCTCACTCTTTTTATTTAGAAATTGAAAAGTTATTAACGAAAAATAGTACTCGTATATACTATGTTGAGGACGGAGGAGAGATTATTATAGACCTTGTACCTTCAACAACATGAGTACTACAATAATAAATAATGAGGCCGGAAATCCGTACTATGTACGTAGTAAACATAGAAGCAGTGCAAAAATATGAGTAAATTTAATCTCGTAAACATAGAAGCCATTGTAAATTTCAATCTCACTTAATTTTTAAACTTTCTATACTCGTCTATTATTTTGGATTGGCTGAATTCTCTACTGTAATTAATGTTTGACTTATTTAGTTAAAATGAAAAGGAAATTAAATTCATAAAATGACTTTGATTGAAAGGAACAATTCATTTAATTATGCTGTAACAGAATATTTATGTGTAGGCGTGTAGCATATCAACTAAAAATGGTCACTGAAAAACATTTGACTTATTGCATATGTACATAAGAATATACTACGTATATTATTTGCATGGGGTGTTTATGTATGTAATGCATAGCTTTAAGGCTTTAAGTAGCGAATCGTCACACTAATACAGTAATAATAATAATACGTAAATAGGAGCAATTTCATTATTTAAACTTGTGATATTCCAAGCTCTTTTTTATACGTAAATAGGAACAAGTACTCGGTACTCCTATTTGGCTATTTTTATACTTTTCTATGTTTACTCCCATCGGAGCAATTTCATTAGTTAAATTAATTAATATTATAATGAACGTATTCCTCTTCAAAGAATTTTATAATGATTTTAAACTTGTAATTTAATATGCTAGGTTCTTTTACTTGGTAGTTCAGCCGGAGGAGTTGCTACTGCCATCTACTGTGATAGATTTCGTGGCTTTCTCCCCTCTGCTTTTCGGGTGAAGTGCTTCTCAGATGGAGGATATTTTTTCCTTTCGTAAGTAATTTTTATCACACATGGATCATATCTCACACACATACTATGTAGGGAATTGAAAGTTGCAATTTTAGTCCTCTAACTTTTTATTGTGCCAGTTATTGATTCTATAACTTTACTCAGTGGTAACCTAAGAACTTTTTCATAGCAAAATGCACTTTCCAGTCGTAAGTTTGCTGAAAAGTTGTCACTGATGTAAAATTTTCTACCGGAGAGTTTACTTTACGGTGGAAAAATCCTTAAATTATAAAAAATTATTAGCTACATGACCAAATATGCAATCGCGTAAAATATAGGACCAATAATGGACACAACTTGAAGTTATAGTACTAAAACTTCAATCCACCCTACAATATACATACATACATACATACATACATACATACATACATACATACATACATACATACATACATACATACATACATACATACATACATACATACATACATACACACACAGTTTTGTTCAAATAAAAAGGAATCATAACGTGTAAAATGAGAATTAATATAAGTCACCCAAATTTTCAATTTGATGCACAATAATCATTATCTATTGCACTGTGCATATACATACGGATCGAAGTAATACACAAAAATCACAAATAGGACTACATAACCTACATTGTTTTTAATTTGCTAGTGGGATTAAATGTGTATGCTTGTAAAGGTATAACCCTGTAGCTTCTTGGACTAAAAGGAATTTTAATAAAACTGATATAAAAAAAAAAGAAAAATAAAAAATTGTGTCTTTCATAAAAAACAAAAAAAAAACCACCCGTGGTAAAAAAGAAAAGTCATATCAAGCCATAAAATTTTAGTTAAAGTCGTCCCGCTAACCTAATTAAACTCCTGCATACGCCATTACAAGAAAGTTTATAATCTTATCTTATCAACAAAATATACTATGTAGGGAGTACTAATTAAACAGATTCTAATACAACTGTTGTTCTTTTTTTATTTTTTATTTACAGGAATCATCACATCAAAGGAAACCAATTTCTATCATTCTTTAAAGGGTTGATTAATTTGCATGTATTCATCTCTGGTCTTAGACTCGATTTCATTATTTTATACGGAGTACCATTTACCCTGCAAATTCAGATTTTGTCATTGGATTGTGAAAAATTGAAAGTTATTGCATAACTAGGTTTTTCTAATTCAAGTATTCTCGTTGGACAGGGATCCACTGACGCTTTGCCCAAATCCTGCACTTCCAAACTCACTGCGGCATTGGTAAAATAAACAATTAATTAATCAAATAAGATTATGTTTAATCCCTGAATTAATAGGCTTTGTCGAACAGGAGGCAGGGGTGGAGCCAGGACACTGGGCCAGACTGGGCCGATACAAAGAATATTTTTGGAAACAAATTACACAGAATTTTTTACACTTAAAATTTAGACACTTTTAAAATTTTGGCTGGGTCAGGGCCAGGATTGGCCCTCCCCTAGCTCCGCTCCTGAAAGGAGGTCGGATCGATCGGTACTATATATATATATACACACACACACACATATATAGAGAGAGTATGAATCAAATAAAAAGTGCTTCCTGGGTGAAAAGTAAGAACTGATCTTGATCATTGGTTTGAAAAAATGAATGGAAGAGATCAAATTTTAAGTGAAAAATGCGGTGGCGTTTTGTTAATTATATAAAAATTTTAATTAAAATGTTATACAAAAAGTGTATAAGAATATGCAAAAAGTGTACATGTAGAGCACAAAAGTGCATAACGGTACATCACAAAATGTGCACAGGCTAAAAAAAATTGGCAATCTTTTTTAACACTCAAGAGTGCACTTTTAGTCGCTTAATATCCACTTTGTACAATAAACATTTGCACATTATTTGATTCTGTGTCTTGTGATTAAAGTTAATCTAATCCATTCATTTACAAGTGATTAAAGGCTAAGATTTGTTCCCACTTTTCATAGGAAGACTACTTTTTACTTGAACCATTCCCTATAATATATATATATATATATATATATATAGAGAGAGAGAGAGAGAGAGAGAGAGCTCTTCTCATCAGGCCGGCCTGACGGGCTGCCCCGTCCGTCCGAGCCCGTTTGGGCACCTTCCCGGTGGAATTTTTTGATGAAATTTTTTGAGCATGTTCCTCATCAAGTCTAGTCTGTCCATACCAAATTTCAGCTCAAAATTCGATTGGGAAGGTCGTCAAATGATTTTTGCAAGTTAACTGGTCCGGAATATGTATTTTCCGGACCAGTTAACTTGCAAAAATCATTTGACGACCTTCCCGATCAAATTTCGAGCTGAAATTTGGTATGGACAAACTAGACTTGATGAGGAACATGCTCAAAAAATTTCATCAAAAAATTCCACCGGGAAGGTACCCAAACGGGCTCGGCCGGACGGGGCAGCCCGTCAGACCGGCCTGACATGAAGTTTTCTCTATATATATATCTATATATATATATATATACAGAGGGCTCTTCTCATCAGGCCGGCCTGACGGGCTGCCCCGTCCGGCCGAGCCCGTTTGGGCACCTTCCCGGTGGAATTTTTTGATGAAATTTTTTGAGCATGTTCCTCATCAAGTCTAGTTTGTCCATACCAAATTTCAGCTCAAAATTCGATCGGGAAGGTCGTCAAATGATTTTTGCAAGTTAACTGGTCTGGAAAATACATATTCCGGACCAGTTAACTTGCAAAAATCATTTGACGACCTTCCCGATCGAATTTTGAGCTGAAATTTGGTATGTACAAACTAGACTTGATGAGGAACATGCTCAAAAAATTTCATCAAAAAATTCCACCGGGAAGGTGCCCAAACGGGCTCGGCCGGACGGGGCAGCCCGTCAGGCCGGCCTGACATGAAGTTTCCTCTATATATACATATATACATATAGAGTAGTCTTCTTGTCCAGCCGGCCTGACGGGAACCGCCGTCCGGCCGAGGGCATTTCGGGCACTTCCCGATGGAATTTTTTGATGAAATTTTTTGAGCATGTTCTTCATGAAGTCTAGTTTATCCATACCAAATTTCAGCTCAAAATTCGATCGGGAAGGCATTCAAATAATTTTGTGAAGTTAACTGGGCAGTTCATACATATAAACTGCCCAGTTAACTTCACAAAATTATTTGAATGCCTTCCCGATCGAATTTTGAGCTGAAATTTGGTATGGATAAACTAGACTGCATGAAGAACATGCTAAAAAAAATTCATCAAAAAATTCCATCGGGAAGTGCCCGAAATGCCCTCGGCCGGACGGCGGTTCCCGTCAGGCCGGCTGGACATGAAAAGTCCTCTATACGTATATATATATATATATATATGTGTGTATATATATATATATATATATATATATATACATATCCAATGAGAACCATGCTTAACGTGAGAACGTGAGAACCATGCACTTTTAACACATCTTGGTATACTATGAGTCTCATCTATTACACTTTTTAAATTTTGATCAAAACGTGCTAATATCAAATAAATGTGATGGCAGATTTCTAAATATTTTGTCAACATAAAAATGTGCAACATATACATGATATAGTGCATCACATCTGCTTAAAAGTGGAGTTCTCACGTTCTCACGTTAAGCATGGTTCTCATTTGAACATATATAAATATATATATATATATATATATATATATTTATATATATTTATATATGGGAAAGATCAAGTACAAAGTGTGCTTATTGTGCAAACATTTGTACGATGCACCTTGACGTCCTTTGTATTGCATATTGAGGTTCAAAGTAGTGCATATTATTCAGTTATAAAATAGCAGTTGCACATTAACGTGCAACGAGTTGCATCCTTAAAAAGTTGGGTTTTATTACAAAAATGCCACCTTACCTTTATGTCCTTTGGATCAACTCATCGGACGGTCAAGATGAGTTTGTACTTTGTAAATTAAGAAGGGTTTGTATTTGATCTCGATTATATATATATATATATATATATATATATATATATATATATATAGAGAGAGAGGTGATCAGGTCCAGCCGGAGGGACGGGGAGCCGCCGTCCGAACTCCGCCGTTTGGGGCGGTTCCCGGTGGAATTTTTTGATGAATTTTTTTGAGCATGTTCTTCATCAAGTCTAGTTTGTCCATACCAAATTTCAGCTCAAAATTCGACCGGGAAGGTCATCAAATGATTTTTGCAAGTTAACTGGTCCGGAAAATACATATTCCGGACCAGTTAACTTGCAAAAATCATTTGACGACCTTCCCGATAGAATTTGGAGCTGAAATTTGGTATGGACAAACTAGACTTGATGAGGAACATGCTCAAAAAAATTCATCAAAAAATTCCACCGGGAACCGCCCCAAACAGTAAAGTTCGGACGGTCCCTCCCGTCCCTCCGGAGGGACCTGATCTTTTCTGTATATATATATATATATATATATATATATATATATATATAGGAATGATCCTGTCCAGCCGGAGGGACAGGATCTTCCGTCCGGCCGCCGCCGTTTGGGGCGGTTCCCGGTGGATTTTTTGATGAAATTTTTATGGAATGTTCCTCATCAAGTCTAGTTTATCCACAAAACATTTCAGCTAAAAATTCGATCGGGAAGGCAGTCAAATAATTTTTTGAACATAACTGCTCCAAATTTAACATATAAACGCAGTTATGTTTCAAAAAAGTATTTGACTGCCTTCCCGATTGAATATTTAGCTGAAATTTTTTGTGGATAAACTAGACTTGATGAGGAACATTCTATAAAAATTTCATCAAAAAACTCCACCGGGAACCGCCCCAAACGGCGGCGGTCGGACGGAGGATCTTGTCCCTCCGGCTGGACAGGATCTTTTTCCTTTATATATATATATATATATATATATATATATATATATATATATATATATATATATATATATATATATATATATATATATATATATATCAGAAAAAGAAAGTAATGTTTGTTAAATTAATGCAGTGTTTCTTTCCACCAAATTTGAAAGATGGCATCTATACCCCTATATTTTTTCTAAACTCTGCATTTGATCTGGTTCAGGTTCGTCTTTCTTATTTATTTAATTTTTAATTGTTTATTTATTTATGTGTTATAATGACTCTAAAAGTACAAAAATGACATTAAATTACTAAGATAATACTACCTCCATTCTTAAATAAGTGCAACATTGCAAATTTTACACTATTCACATGTTCTACTTTGACTACATTTATTTATTGATGTATTAATATATATTTTTGAAAAAAATATTACTAAATTTGTCTCATTATAAATTTTCAAAAATTATTGATGTATTAATATATATCTTTGAAAAAAATATTACTAAATTTGTCTCATTGTAAATTTTCAAAAACTTACTTTTTTAATTTTTTCTACTAATAGTGAGTTATATATATTAATGGTCAAAGTTGTGTCTCGCCAAATGTGAAATCTTGGCTGTTGCACTTATTTAAGAATGGGGGTAGTAATAGTTATGATGATTGTTAAATCCGAGGTTCCATCCTCAAAGGTCAAACTGATAGGAGGAGTAATCCAAACCTTAATATAGCACTTAATTCCTTCACACAGGGTGGGAATATTCAACACCCCTTCTCACAGCCAGAAACTTCGTATGGATCGTGTCGTCATTCATTTTTTCATCGATTCATCATTGTCATTTTTTCATAACCACGCCGTCATATTTCATAAGGGGCCCACACCATTAATCGGTTTGGCTCTGATACAATGTTAAGATCCGAGGTTTCATCCTAAAGAGTAAAAGGTCAACATGATAGGAGAAGTAGTTCAGATCTTACTATAGCACTTAATTCCTTCACACGTTTTTTGGTGTGGAATTCAACAATGATGTTGATAAGAATAAGGTAAAATGGAAAGTAATTAACCCACTTTTGACACTTTTCTCATAAAAATAGAAAATAATTTGATTGACCTTTGTTCCCCATCTTGTTTCGTCGGTCCTCAACCAATTAATGACATGTATTATGGTTTTCTTACTTTTCTTTTCAAACTATTAAACCATAAATCCAAACAAATTTTAAGTATTTACTTAAAATTGATCGCAAATAATAATATGTGAGAATATCGGGTACAATCTCTAAATATGAATCCTCTGATTCTTCACTTGAAATTTGATATGAATATAATTAAAGAATTTAATTTAAAATTAAATCTCTAATTCTTCAAAACTCGAACGTTCTTCGATTTTTCGAATCTTCGTTCTTGAGATCTTCGAATCTTCAAACTTTGTTCTTCAGATCTTCAAATCTTCTTGAATGCAAAATACAATATTGAAGGGCCTCCGGTTTCAAGTAGCTTGATCTTCAACAAAAGGGCCGTTATGTGGCTTGATCTTCTGTTAAAGGGCTTCCCGGGATATATGGCTTGATCTTCAATTGAATATTGATTCAATCTTCATATGAATATCTTCAAATCTTCAAAGATTCGTTCTTCATATCTTCGAATCTTCAAAGCTTTGTTCTTCAGATCTTTGAATCTTCAAGCTTCGTTCTTCAGATCTTCGAACGTTCTTCAACTTTTGGCTTTGTTTGATCAAGAATCGATGAAATCACAGAGGATTATTCATATATTCTTGACAAAAACGTGGCTTGATCTCTTCCTCTTCTTTGGAATCCTTCAGAGCCTTTCGGGAGTTCTTCAGAGCTTTGCTGCAGCGTTTCTTCGTCTGGAAGCTCTCCTCCTCTTTCTCTCAACTGAGACCCCTATTTATAGGTGTGGAGGGGGTGAAAATATGACCTAGGGTTGCTGAAATTCGTCCATACCTTATGGGCCATGATAAAATGGGCTTTGGGCTCCATTTGCTTGCATTTTAATAGCTAGAAAAATCAGCATTTGTTCGATGTATCTGGACAGCCTTTTTAACAAGGTTCGCAGCCATTTTCCATGCATACAGACGGATTTCTTAACCAGATTTGTTGCTCTCTTTATCAATTGGATCATGCCTCTTGCTTGTCGGGTCATTATTTAATAATAGGCTCAAAATAGAGAAATTAATATGATCGGTCCATTCTTTTAAGAATTTAATTAAATTAACCGGACATTTTGGTAACCCGAATTAATCTAATCCCAAAATAAATGGATCCATATTAATATTTTCTTCTTGATAAGGCCCAATAACCATTTACAAATAGTCCAGTAGAATCTGACGTTGGCCCAATAAATTCAAAAGAGACCCAATAAATTTTACATGTCCACACCTATTTTTCACGGATCTTCTCAAAACTGTCTCAAATACGGAGTTATCATTTTTTCTTTCTCCCTAAACAATTTTCCTTTATTCCGCTCTATCGTCTCTACGCTTTATTCCTTTTTTGTCTTATTTTTGTTGTTTTTATTTCTTCTTCTGGTTTATCCTATCTTTATGTATTTTTCATTGGATTAGTTCTTCTTTTATAAAAAAAAATACTACATGTATTTATCTCAAACTACTCATTTTTTTGTTTTAGTTTTAATTCGTTTTACTTTCACGTGCGTGTCCTTTTACTTTTTCTACCCCTTTTTCTTCCTCTAACATTAATTCTATAACTATATATTTCTCCGATCCCCTTTTCTACATCACCACATTTTTTAAGTGAGTCCATCAATCCATTAGCTACTCTGAAAAAGAACTAGTGAAGAAGGAAAATCAAGGGAAATAACGAGGAAAAGGAAGGACGAAAAAAAGGATGTATATTATACTATATTTACACAAAATGAAAACGAGGGAGGTCATAGTCGAAAAGAGAAGAAAATGGGATAACCCTAAAACAATTAATCATAGGTCATTAATTGGTAAAATACTAGAGAAAATAGGTTGGGCGAAAAATGAAGAAGCAAAAGGATCAAAATTTCTAATATGGCAAGAAAAAGAGGAACAGAAAGTAGAGGAATATGAAGAAGGGAAAAAAGGAAAGAAAAATTCAACTAAAAGCAAACTAAGAGCATCTTCAATGCTAAAACGTTAACGGTGCATACGTGGCATGAGAAATAACCAATTAAAAAACAATACAGACATAGAATATCTCTCACCTTATTTGAAGAATCTTGCATCATTTTGGTAAGTTTTTCTTCACAATGTCAAGCACAATGTCTAGATGTAGACATTGTGGTTGACATTGCAGAGAAAACTTACCAAAAACACATAAGACCGTGGAAAGAAGGAGAGAGAAATGTCATAAAATCAATATTTTGTGTTTATATCTCTCATGTCACGTGTGCGGGCACCGTGCACATTGTAGCATTGGAGACGCTCTAAGAGCATCTCCAATGGTACAATGTGCACGGTGCACACGTGACATGAGAGATAGTCACATAAATATTAGTAAATAAATTATTTCTTTCCTTATTTGAATGATTTTATACAATTTTGGTAAATTTTTCTTCACAATATCAAGGAGACCGTCTAGATGTCGATATTGTTGTTGACATTGCAGGGAAAAACTTACCAAAACTGTATAAAATCATTCAAACAAGGAGAGAGATAATTTATTCGCTAATATTTATGTGGCTATCCTTATGCCACATGTGCACCCTGTACATTATAGCATTGGAGATGCTCTAAAGTAAATATAAACATATATTTAGCGGAAATTCATTTCTAAAAAGAGAATTTAATCCAATAGAAATACGGAGTATATTAAATGGGAAGAATGTAAAAACAAGGATGAAGAAAAAGGAAAACAATAAGGATGCCTTTTACTTGGACTTATTTCAGTCACATACCAGATCATATTATATACGAAAATATAATTTGAGAGAATAATGGCGGCTTACCCTTTTGGATGTCTTAGTCTTGTATTCATAATAAAACAGTGTTATTGAATATTACAAAATAATCCCCAAATATTACGTTAACAATGTTTTATTATATTAGACTTAAATGGACCTGATTGGACTTTGATAGTTATAAAAATATACGGAGACCATACATTTACTAACTAGACTAGATCCAACTAAACTAGTTAGATCAGTGCAGACCAGAAAAATTCTCGAATGGAAATGTCAAGCAGGTCAACAATCATATTCGTGAAATGGTTTCCATTTTAGAAAGTTCTCGTCCACTATTCACATGATCAACTTAAATTATTTTTAATCTTTTACTTTGTATATCAAATTTTATCAAATTTACATTTTTTATCAGGCTTTGTAGCGGTTTTAATGTAGTTTCTGAATATGTAAATTTTATTTACTAAAAATAATAAGAGTGTGAAAAGAGATTACGTTATTTTATCGTCAATCAAGTATCGTAAGTCGTTAACGGGAACCTTCTAGAGTTACAATTATTAACTTAAATCGTTAACGAGAACCTTCTAGAGTTACAATTATTAACTTCTCTGTCAACAAAATTAATTAAAATTGTATCGAAACAATGTACTGATATGATCTTTTATAACCATATAACCATACTGTAATATTTATTGTGATACGAATGTGTGGTTTCTCTCTCAGATCAATTATACGTTGTCAATTGAGTATGCCGATTGTGCAAACCACAGGAATTGCTCTTCAAGACAAGTGAGAGTCCTACAAGGTATTAATTATTTAATTATTTTTTTTTAATTATAACGAGCCAGTATTGATTATTAATCTGTTAGTTTTACTGTGCTACAAAAGTATTAATTTTCAATTTTATAATAACATGCTCACTGCATTTAAGGTTATATTATGAGTGAATTCCCTAAATAAGACTAAAAAGTGGCAAAATTGCACAAATAGGACTACATTTTTTAAATTCCTTTAATAGGACTATTTATGTGTGTTTGGACAAATATACCCTTGTAGCTTGTGAAATGTTTTAATTAATAATAAATCATAAAACAATAATAAAAATCGAAAAAAATACTAAAAAATCGTAAAAGAATAATAGAAAATTAATAAAAATATTTTTAAAAAAAATTAAAAAATATTTTTTTAAAATTAAAAATAAAAATAAAAAAATCGAAACAAAAAAAAAATACCACCCCTGCCACCCCCCAGCACCACCAGCTCCCATCACTGGAGAAAAATATGCCAACATTTTAAATAATGCCATAATGATGGCATATTCAATGAAAATGTTGGCATATTGAAGAGTAATTATGCCATATTTTTGGGATTTTCAAAAAAAGATGGCATTTTTTACCAAAAATGGAAGAAATTTCACCAATCGGAGTTGGTGGTGCTTGGAGGCGGAGAGAGGCGGTGGGAAAGGTATCCATAATTTTTTTCTTTTTTTATGGGTTTTTACTATTTTTTATTTTTTTTTATAAAAATACATGTGCATTAAAATGGAAGAGAAGAGAAACTGGAATTATGCTTGGATTTAAGTTGCTATGATCTCATTTAAAATAGACAATAATTGTAAGATAAAGTTGCTTCATTGTAGTGACCATATATTTAACAAAAATAAGTAAATACCTTTAATGGTAATTTTACATATAATCATTCATTCAGGGCCGTCTCCAGGAGTTTTGGTGCCCCAGTCAAAGAATGATTAATGAGATCAAATAGTATTTAAAATTATTCTCAAAATGATAACAGAATTAAATATGAAGTTATTAGAAAATTATAACACCATTTTTACATAATGTAAAAGGTAATACTTGATATAAAATTTATCTAAAGTATGTGAAGGAGAAAGATTTATCATTCGACTTGATATAAAATTTAATTAACTCTTTAGTGACTTGGGTAACAGTACTTAGGGTAATTGATTAAACTATTCTATTTTCCTATTGGGCAAACCGGTAAGGCTTGCAGCCTTGCATGTGCCTATCTCTATTCTCTATCCACTTTGATTTACTCCGTATTGATTTGCAGACTTCAAAATTGACTTTTGATTTACCCCGTATTGATTTACTCCGTATTGGGGTGGATCCGTGGATGGCCTTATATTAATGTATTAATATACTAGTATTAATATATTAATATATATAATGGATTTTTATCAAAAAAAATGGGGCCCTCCTGGAATGTGGTGCCCTAGGCCATTGCCTAGGTGCCTAGGCCCTATGGCCGGCTCTGCATTCATTCCAGTCAATATATCATCAAACGTTTTTACTTCAGATTGTATATTTCATTGTAATATACGATAATATATTATTCAAATGTTAATTTTTTGAAGCCTAAAGATTGTACAAATATATGTATTAATAGATACTCCGTGTTTAGGATTAAAAGTCATACCGTGGGAACATAGTGCGCATAATGTATCAATTCCACTATTATGTTGTTTTACTATTTTTTTCTTCCTAGGAGCATAGTTTTTCTTTTTTCTGTTGCTTCTCATTATTTACTTTTCTTTTCTTCAATTCTTTCTCCTTCTCCATCAAAATAAAAAATAAAACAATTTTACTTTTATTTATCTTCAACATAAATTATAACTCAATCTATTTTTCATTCTTTATCTACTCATAACAAATAAATTATAATATAAATAAAATATATATACTCCATTTCATATTCATACAATATTTTTATTTTTGTAATAGTTTTTATATGCACGCACTTTTTTTATAATTTTTTCATTTTCACACTTTTGTCTATTAAACATATTTTCTCTCTTTTATATGTGTTTAGTGGTTTTTTTAAGACATTGAGTTTGTTTATTTTGATTGCTGGAGTTACATTTGATAATATATGGAGTTACATCTTCTTATACGCGATTTGCATCTTCATGTGCTTGAGTTATATCTCTTATTTATACGCAAGTTAAATCTTCTTATGTGTAAGTTACATTTGGACTTGTCTCAAATAGTTACATTTTGCATACATGTAAGTTGCATTTTCCATCAACACGGGTTACATTTGCCATAACACAAGTTACATCACAAAAAAACCCCTATTATTGATGAAAAAATGATTTTTAAATTCATTTTTAATGGCCCTAATATTAAAAATAAAACATATTCACTCTTTACGTAATGTAATTGAGCATGTAGACTCTTTTTTCATTGCTTACATTATTGAAATCAATATTTATTTCTTATACACTATATTGGATAAGTTACATTTCGACTGGACTGTAGTTACTAGTTACATCTCATCAACATGTGTTATATTTCCTTACACGCGAGTTACGTCACTCTACTACTTAAACAAAACAAATAAATTATGAAAAAATTACAGAAATATTGCCATTTAAAAACTGTTGGACAACAATATTAGTAACCTCCCTATTTAGAAATAACCATCACATGTGAACCGTTTGTTTTCTTTGCTTATTATTAGCACTAGTCACTTTTTTGTCTATGTAATTACTAGTGGTAATATTTAGGTAAAAAACTCATAAATTATTGTTCATGCGTGCTATTGTTCATACGTGTTTTAACTCTGGAAGTAATATGCTCACTATGATCTACTCTCACGGCATAACAATTAGTCTCTAATGCATATGGAGTATATTTTAATTTAGGGGTAAACATGAATGTTAAGATGTTTTTCCTTTCATATATTGCATATAATATCAAACTAATCTGCTTTTTTACTTCTTTCTTTGATTTGAACAGACTTATAATCAGCTTTTAAGAGACTGGTATTTTGACCGAAAACGAGTACAAATAATTGACCAGAATCCCTGCCCGGACGTCGATTGCACACGGCCACCATATTAGTTGAATTATTTAGCTTTTCAACTTTTTATCACTTATTAGAAATCTATATCGGAAATTGTCCTAAATAGGTCTAATGAGTTCCTAAAAAGCACAAATAGGACTACTACTTTTTAAATTCCCTAAATAGGACTAAACATTGATTTTCTACCCTAAATACCCCTAAGAGTATTAATTCATAATGAAATGCTTTAATTCATAATAAAATCATAAAAAACACAAAAAAATATTTAAAAAACGTAAAAAATATTTAAAAAGCGTACAAAAATTATAAAAAAATTATAAAACATTTATAAATAAAAAAAATTATTTTTTATTTTTTTTAATTTTTTTTTTAAATAATAAAAAATAGTAAAAACCCATAAAAAATGAAAAACATTATGGATACCTTTCCCACCGCCTCCCGCCGCCTCCTAGCACCACCACCTCCGATTGGTGAAATTTCTTCCACTTTTGGTAAAAAAATGCCATCTCTTTCTGAAAATGCCAAAAAGATGGCATAATTACTCTTCAATATGCCAACATTTTCATTGAATATGCCATCATTATGGCATTATTTAAAATGTTGGCATTTTTTTCTCCGGTGATGGGAGCTGGTCGTGCTGGGGGTGGCAGGGGTGGTAATGTTTTTTTTTAATTTTACGATTTTTTTTATTTTTTTTTAAATATTTTTTTTTAATTTTTTTAATAATTATTTTTATTAATTTTCTATTATCTTTTTACGATTTTTAGTATTTTTTTCGATTTTTATTATTTTTATATGATTTTATTATTAATTAAAACATTTTACAAGTTACAAGGGTATATTTGTCCAAACACACATAAATAGTCCTATTAAGGGAATTTAAAAAATGTAGTCCTATTTGTGCAATTTTGCCACTTTTTAGTCCTATTTAGGAAATTCACTCAATCTATATATATATAAAAATGAAGTTCGTATGGAAAAACTTGTTCCCGCCTGTTAACAACATGTTTAAACAATAAACACACATTACACATGCATGTGTACACCGCTGGCTTAGTGGATTTGTGTATATATTGTTACTATCCATTGCCCATTTTTTGCATGTTATTATACTGCACAGCTGTGATCAGAGACGGATCTAGGATTTCGAGTCAAGGGGGCGAATTTTTTCTTTAGTGTAGGGGGCAATTTTTTTTTTCACTGATGTTGTGGGGGCAAAAAAAAAATTCGCTAATGTGCCAAGGACATTTTTCTACTAGTGTAGCAAGGTAAACTGTTTTTCGCTAATGTAACTAGGCAAACTTTTTTTCGCTAATGTAGCGAGACGAATTTTCACTACAAAAAAAAGGCGGGATTGGCACGGAATTTGGCACGGACTTATCAATTTTTCGTGCCAAATAGCTCGTGCCAAAGTGTTTTAGGCACGGATTTGGCGTATCCCTGCCAAAATCCGTGCCAAAATCTCTGTCAATCCCGTGTTTTTTTTTGTAGTGTTTTTTCACTATTGTAGGGCTCTGTCGCTAAACTTATTAAAAAAAAATCACTGGTACATACACGATAACATTTAAATCTATTACATTCTAAGTTTAGACAATGAAAAATAATTTTACTTTTGTAACCGTGAATGCATAAGAAATTAAATTGCAAATCAAAGGAAATTTATTTGAAAATAAAAAATAATATATAACATTTTGTCGAATTATTTCAAGGTAAAAAGTTTAAAAGGCACACATCAATCGATGTCTTTTAAATAACTTATGTCTTGTTTAATCACATGAATCTTATCAGAATAAAGAATTGATTTTTGAATTGTAGTTTTTGTCTACCAAGGGGGTGTTCATAGGTCACGAGAAGTTTTCTTAATATTACAATAATATGTATGAGATTATTATTTTTAGAATAATATTATATGTAGTATTGCTAATTCATATATATGGTGTGTATTATATTTGTATTAGCGCTAAAATACGTTAAAGTTTATTATTTATGCAATAAATTGCTTTAGAAAGTAAAAAGTAAATGAATTGTATAATTTTATATCAACGAATGTTTATATTTTGGATTCACTTCACATGATCTAAAACTATTTAATATTGTTTGATCTTTTACAAAATTTAGTACTAATTGTCTAATAACTAAAGATATATAAATATTACAAAGCTAGGAATTTGTATATAATAGGTATCCTAAGTTTTAAACTATCTAAATTATTTTAGATTTTACTTCTTTTAAACCTACAATTAAGAGCATCTCCAATGCTATAATGTGCACGGTGCACATGTGGCATGAGTGATAACCACATAAATATTAGCAAATAAATTATCTCTCTCCTTATTTGAATGATTTTATACAATTTTGGTAAATTTTTCCCTGCAATGTCAACAACAATGTCAACATCTAGACGGTCTCCTTGACATTGTAGAAAAAAACTTATCAAAACTGTATAAAATCACTCAAATAAGGAGAGAAAGAATTTATTTACTAATATTTATGTGACTATTTCTCATGCCACGTGTGCACCGTGCACATTTTACCATTGGAGATGCTCTAAGTATTACACTATGTAAGGCTATATATTAACTTTGAAAACTAAAAGTCAAGGGGGACGAAAACATATATAACTAATTAAAATATGAAAATACTACATATATAGTAGAAAAATTTGAAAGTCCAAGGGGGGCGTTCGCCCCCGCGCCCCCCTTAAATCCGTCCCCGACTGTGATGCTAATATATATTTAATTTTTAGTGAATGTTTAGCAGATACAACCTACGACGAAGGGTGATTAACATCACACTATATTTTATCCTTCCATTGATACTATCTATTGTATTTACTAAAACAAATTATTATTCAGTTTGACAATATGTATCAACCAAATACTTTTTTGAAAATATACTCCCTCCAGTTTTTAATAAACTTCACACTTTTCTTTTTGGGACGGTCTAAAATAAACTTCACACTTCCTTATTTTCTTTTTTGGCAAAGAAATCTACATCAAAACAGTGTCAAACAGTGCCAAACAGTGTCTCAACAGTGCCAAACAGTGTCTCAACAGTGCCAAACAGTGTCAAACAGTGCCTCAACAGTGTACTCTACAGTAAACAGGCCCGACCTTGACTAATGGAAGGCCCTGTTCAAATGGAAAATCGGAGGCCCTGATATTTAATACAAAAAATACAAATAATAAAATAAAAAGTAATATCATACTACCCCGTTCTTAAATAAATGCAACACTTTGACTTTTACACTATTTACATATTCTACTTTGACTACGTTTTACTACGTATTTATTAATGTAATAATATTCTTTTATGAAAAAAAATATTGTTAAACTTGTCTCATTGTAAATTTTCATAATCTAATTTTTTTTAATTTTTTTACTAATACAAAATCATTTATATTAATGCTCAAAGTTGTGTCTCGTCAAGTGTGAAATGTTGACCGTTGCATTTATTTAAGAACGGTGGTAGTATTTTATGATTATACTTCATACTCAAATGCAATTCTTCTTATACAGTGGTTGCTACCCAGTGCCTGCCTAGATGAATCCGGTTGGAGTGGTTGCTTACTTGCTTTGCTAGACGGTAGTTTGGCTGTCCGGTATCCACTGATTCCAGTATTCCACTCGCAGGAAGCAGCCACACAGGACAGAAATAACACACTTACACTGTGACACAATGAAAGAATGAAAGATTGAATAACATCAGAAGTATGAAGAAAATCGGAGAAGCTGAAATCAGGGGAATCGCAAATTCGCAAGAGGTATTCATAGCTATGGAATAAAAGATTATAGAAGATATTTAGCATAAAAATCCTTACGGTAAAAATAATAAATTGATTTAATTTCATACCTTTCCGACGCTTTCATAGCCGCTTGAATCGCAGTCTTCTCCTAGAAACACGGCTTTGTCCCTTCGATTCTCCATGCGTTCAAGACTTCAAGTACCGAAGACCCAGTAACTCGACTAATATAGAAACTGCCGCTTCGATTCTTTGCAGGGCTGGTTAATGCTAGGATGAGTTGCATCGGGCTGTCTATTTTAAAATTTTTAATTTTACTCTTTACTCATGGGCCTAGGTATACTACTAGGGTTAAAAAATTTGGGGCCCTCCAAAGTTGGAGGCCCTGTGCAGCTGCTCCAGTTGCACCTGGACTGGGCCGGACCTGACAGTAAAGTCAAATTTCTTTCCTTATTTTGTGTGAAGTCAAAGTGTGAAGATTAAATAAAACCGGAGGGAGTATATATCAAGCAAATAAGTCATGAAACGTTATATAATACGTAGTACGTAGTATATTAATTATATTTCTCTTACGTTTAGTGAGTATATCACACCCAAACATATGCAACTTATTTTGTAATCCCGCGTTCTTTAATAATTGAAGCAATTCTAATATTATACTCTTCAATTGGCATAATATACTTTGAGTACATTTTATTAATAATACATTAATTAAAATGATGTAATAAAATATAATTATATAATTTGTCTCAAGTAAAATTTGAATATGTAATTTATTTTACTAATAGCTAATTAAATATATTAATGATCAAAGTCGTGTACTGATAAACGTCAACGATATGATGAACTTCAAATGAAAAAAGATGAAAGTAGTGTCATTTTATTTATTATAACAACAAATGTCAATATTTCTATTTTTATCATATCACTTATTCATGCAGTTTATATTCATTGGTGTTTTTTATCATACAACATGATCAATAATATAAATGTATTAATATTTCGTGCATCGCACTGAAGTATGACGTATAAATTAATTATAGTCCATTTATTATATATTTCTGTACGTAGTGTTATGTAAATGATTTTATATTTTTGTGCCATTATATCAATGCATTTTTTAGTTTTATTAATATCATTTTGAGTTATGGTGTTTGGCCATCGAACAATTTTATATTGCCTTCAACGCAGTGGTGGATATAGAAAAGCAGAGTCCGGGGTCCCTACCCTAATTTAACTTCTAAATCCGGTTTCAGCTTTCAAGGATTCAAAATCAACAAGTTGGTTTCATTTTCATTATCATTTACGCCAGTGCCGCAAAGGCTCCCACTTACGGTGGGGTAAGGGGGTCGGATGTACGCAGTCTTACCCCTGTACTAAAGCACAGAGAGAATGTTTCTGGATGACCCATAGTGAAAATCGCGTCCAAAATTGCATGGACTGACTGTTGCTTCATAACAGAAAAGCGCGTGCAGACAGTTTAGTGAGTCATTTTGCTTTATTCCATCATATTTTCAAGCCAAAAAATAATGAATCTTTAGCTCCATTGCAAATGATGGAAATAAAATCAGCAAGTTCGTCATGTATGTAAATTATCTGTCAAATTACACTACACAAAAACTGATTTGTAGAGGCACACCATAATTGCCTCTAAATATAACAAAGTAGTCTCTAATGCTCTTTGGAGGCAATTTAGTGGTTGCCAACAAAAAGTCCATCGCAAAATGATGGACTAAACAACCATTTTTTGCTTCATTAGAGGCAAAAAGTCCTTGGCACTTTAGAGGCAATAGTCCGTGGCAATTTAGAGGCAATAATTTTTTGCTTCAAAAAATGTACCTTTAGAAACAACCATACTCTTCTGCCTCAAAATATCATTAGAGGCAACCATATTATGTTGTGTCAAAAAGTTATTAGAGGCATCCTTATTTAATGACTCAAAATGTTATTGGAGGCATTACTATACACTTCTTTTAAATAAAACTAATTAGACAACATGCATTTTGGGGCAATTATTATATTTTATGTCAAATTTCATATACTTTATACATGTTAATATAAACTAAAGTTTATTATAAATAACTCACAAAAGCAACGCATCCCTTAAAGTATTGCACAAGATATCAAACTAAATTTTCTTTAAATAACTGAATATATATAGTAACTAGTACCTATTTAAATAACTTGTTTAATCTAATCTACACTATCCCCATGAAAAATTTGTAAGGAACTAGAGAGTTACTAAAACATTATGATTTAACAACTTAGTTCCAAAAGCTAGCTTCAAGAAAACACATCATTTAGAGAGATTCTTCGTCTTCATCTTGTCAATCATCTTGCTCTTTGTTCTGCTCCTAGTCAAACATGGCCAAATAGAAAAGATAAAGTTTGCAGTTGAAGCTAGTATATCCAACCTGCAAAACAATATAAGTGCAAGTATTATATTCAGGTATTTGCAGGTATACAAATTGCAGGTGAGTAATGGCATTTTCTTGCTTAAAGTCAATAATTTGGTGTTGCATCGCAACGGTCAAACAGTCCATAATTCTCTTAGAGTCGTCAAAGAAGAGCATAACCACTTCAACCACAAAAATCTGGGATGCTCTCATATTCTAGTTGATAACAAAACAAAAAAAGCAACTTCAAAACACACTGTTTAACAGATTAAGTGATAGTACGTAAATACGTTTAACTAAGTATTAATAACAAATCTGAAAACAAAAATATTTCACCAGAGTATCACATTATTATAACCGTGTCTATGAAAAGAGCTATATAACATTAAGGAAGTCAATATAACAACTACAGGATTAAAAATCCTCAAGTTCTGAGTTCAGACAATAATATATGGAGTATCCACTTTTTTTAGAGGATGAGTATCCACTTAAGTAGTCAACATGCTCTTATTCTCTGTAAATATATGCATTTCAATGCAATAGAGGAGAGCTTACTTATAATCTTTGATTACAGGGGCTGAACCTGTATTCTGCCATTACTTCTTCATGTCAAGGAGTTAATGGTGGAGTAGTCGTAGCTAATCTGAAATCAGTTTTGAGTTTGATTAGTGAATGGGTGATGTCAATTCCAATGTGCAAACCATCATTAACTCAAGTATTGACTTCTTTCCTCTCTTATAAGGGAACAAGGTGTGTGTTGCTCTTCATACATGATATCTTGAAAGGAATACTCAGAAATCACAAGTATAAAACATCAAATACGATTACATCATATATAAACAATTAATAAAGCACACTAGTAGAGCAAATAAAAAAGATAAAATACTGGATATCCTCATCCATGTTTTCATATTCAGAACCAATAATAAACCAATGTATATCAACGATCTAAAATGGCATCAAATGCCACACAGAATCAATAAATGAAATTGTGAGCTAGGGTTTGTAGTTCCAATGAGATCGGCCTTACCTAGCAATGAGATTGGAAATAGGCTGAGAGGAAGACTTGGGCGAAACAAAAGAATCGGCGGAGGGTTTCCTATTCTCGCAGCGGGAGTGAAATTGTTCAAGTCCTTCACCCTTCGATCGCTCAGTTGCTTCTCCATAGCAAGCCTGCTGAGTCGAAACGTGGAAGGAATTCCTATTCTCTCACTTTTTTAGAAGATGGTCCCTTCAAATCTTTGCGACACACTCCACCTGCAAATAACATGGAATAAGTTCTCTGAGCAATTTGCTACCCATCTGATGTAGTATTGACAAGTTACTTCATTTTCCAGAATTTCACTCTTTACTCGAAATAAAGCTGCAAACAACTAAGCTATGCTTCACATTTTCAACAACAAAAACCCACATATTTCCCACAAACAAATCCTCTTTCTCATTAGAGTTGTCCACGACATAACATGGAAAGTGAAGGCCGTAAATAACAGTCACACGCCATGCTTATCAGTTGTATGACATTAAACGTAATGCTCATAGCAAACAATAAAGCACAACTAGTTGTACCTCTGCTTAGGATGAAAATCTTGTTTTGAATATGGAGAGCCGAGAACAAGTAGAATATGATGTCAACCCTTTTAAAACCAAAACAAAGAGGGTTTCACGATGATTCGTCTTCCTTATCCGAGTTAGGCAAGCCAACCAGGAACCACTAAGAAATCACGTTGTCTCATGACTGCTTAACTAACTTTGGATTCCTAAGAAAATAGCCAATAATAAAATCTACAATTTTTTAACATAGACGCAGAGTCACAGAAGAAATAAAATCGACTTACAATCAAATTTGGATATTTGCTCTCGCCCAAACATAAAACATAGCATTCTACATAGTTAATTAACTGGCGACAAATTAATATCAAATCAGTAAAAGATTAGGTCAATATAAAACTAAATAGCAACACTTTGATATTAGAAAGGGAGAAAGAGATTACATATTGAAGCAGAATTCTTTCAGGACAGTCAAGTCTTGAATTTTTTACCATAAAAGAACTATAAAGTACCTCCAACAATCAACTTCTTTCAGAAAAGGAATACTTTAACATCACTTTCCCTGTATTAATACAATATAGATGATCAATATTCCTTTCGGATTTTGAAGAAAAGAGTTCAAACAAACACACAAAAGCGAAATAAGGTACTAGAAAGAGTTGAGATTTAGTAAGTTAATGCTGAATGTACTGGAATGCAATCTCCTCCTGATTGAAGAAGAGCTTTCTGAAACCTTTTGAATCAGAATTTATAATTCCAGCATCATAAGGCATTTCTCTCCCTGTTTATTGTGAAAAACGAAGCAAAGTATAAGACCGCAAAGGAAGTCAAAGCAAGCATTCTGGAAAAAAGTTGCTTGAAGTTGTAAAACAATGTCTGGGTGGTCCTGTAAAAAAGTTGTTCAGGGGGATTCCATGTCTCTAATGGATTCACAACTCTAAAAAATGCAATATCAGAAAAGCCTATACTATATTTAAATCAATAAGATTTATTGTGTTATCGGACTTATCACTTATCCCTAACCATTTGTAGATAATTATTGTAGCAGAGGATAATATTGAATTATCAATGATAATAATTAATAAAACCATAGGACTCATATATATATATATATATATACACACACATATAAACCAATTGTTTATATATAAAATGTCTTCTATGTTCCAAGCTCACATGCTATAATAAATTAATAACTAAACCAATTGTTTTTCCCGTATTGAAATTTAGGGGGGAAATGCAAATTAAAGCTGGATCGTATAGATCACCACCAAGTCCATACGGCCATACATATTAACATCATCATAAAGAAGGATGATTTAATCATCATGAAGAAGGATGATAATATCACACACAAAATTGAAGTTAAAGTATTCCTTCCACATATTTAGTCAACTCATAATATAAAGAATGAATTTACAATAGTCACTATTCCTAATTTGTTTTTTTTTTTAAAGAGTGATAACAGCCTGCACCTAAGGATTAAGTAGCTAAAGGTCTAGCTTTTTGTCAAACAAATGGTAAGGTACTTCATGAGTTATATGGTTGGATTGTTCACTGAACAGGAATCTAGAATATTCAAGGGACTATCTTATCTAAATTCCAGACACAGAAAATTATTCCCAATTAGTTTTCAAAATGTTTTTGTTTTCAAGTGACCAACAGACCAAGCCTTAGTCCCAATAGAGTTTGGGATAGACTAACATGAATGAGGAATATATGGACACATAAACTGTGGGAGACTAAGTAGAGTGAAAAATATATACTTAAGGCGGCCTGTATGTGCAATGGAGTACATGTGCTCTGTAACTAACTTTAATAACAAATCACTTTAATTTTCCAGAACATATCCAGATTATTTCAAATTAACTTTAACTTGCAGCATATTAATTGAATAGTGAATGCAGAGAAGTATAGATATATAATTGACGCTTATTGCAGATTGACTTTAGGCAGGTTTGTGTGAATACAACTGGGTTATTTATCATTAAATTTAGGCAGATTATAGAAAGGAATTACACATTACAAAAAAGAAATTACCAGAAGAGTTTGTGCGGCCTTCTTCGTTTAACAACCCTGGAAACGCTAGCTTCAATTCTTCTTCGGACGCAAAAAATACAGAAAACAAAACGAAATTTACCTTTTTTCAATTCGTCGTCCGGCCGCAGCTTCCAATTGTTTCCCTCATTGAGTAGTGACTAGGGCCTTACACAGCTGGCTATATATGACGCTTCTTCCCAGACGGCGCGGTTCTCAGAGAGATGACTACGCTTCTTCGATTCCCTGCTACCTTAGCAGACGACGCGCATAGATGACATTAGAGACGAGATCATTGGTATGAAATATTTACTAATGAAAACGCAGAGGGTTAGCGGGCGTTACGCAGATTTGGA